AAGTCAACTTTACTAAGACCCACAAAGGACAGGAAGTTGTGAAGCACCATGACCGCCCACGTTTTGAAGAGACACGGCACATAGAAAAAGAAAAATCAGGCGAGAACAAATAAATTCGACAGCACTTCATGGACTAAATTTTGTTTTAGTCTATAAGCTGCTTCCAGTGCTGAATGTTACTAAGCAGTTAACCATCCAATTAGTGACCCGATTCGTTGTTGCTTAACGTTGTTCTTCAGATAAGAACCAATTCTATTAATTCACCATTGGTTTTAATTTGCCTTCATCCGCCATCTTTCTTTATCCCATTTTTCTCTTTTTATTTTCCCTTTTTTTTCATTTGCAATTGGCCTACCATGTTTTTTGCCCATGTGGTCTTTTGACGGCGGGAAATAGACAATATACACGCGCCTTGCCACTTAAAGAATCATAGAATGAACACATCAGTTTAAAATCAGTGATAAAGAAAAAAACGTTATTCCTTCTTCCATCTATCTCTTGATAGATATTAAAGGGTGGACGCCACAAGAATATTAAGCTGATTCTCGTGATCTCATACAACCAGGCTTCTGAAGATAAGGTCAACTACGTACAGTATTCCACTTGTTGGTAGAACCCAATGGTTAACGAAAAGAACCGAAAAACGAAAAGATATTCACCACGAAAATAAGAGAGGCAAATTTGAAAAGAAAAACAAAGACGGTTTTTCAATTATGAAGCGTCAAGCGTAAGTTCATTTGATGATAAGCTCAGCTTACAAGCCTTTACCAAATGTGAAAGTATCTAATCCTTTTTGGCCCAGCAAATGCAAGTATAGTGTGTTTTACAATTGTTGAAACAAAGCAGTGGCCACTCAGATGGGGAGAACTCCAAGACCGTCAGGACCCAGATAAGGAGAACAATGATTCCAGCAATGATTCCTCACACTGCTAGTGTTACAATGGCATGGATCCGTGAAAAGAAGTTTTAGGAGCGTCTCATCAGTCGCAAAGCTGACGTGGAATGGCTACCTCAGTCACCTGACCAAATTTCCCCCTCTATGTGTTCAGGAAGGACAACATCTACCAGGGCAACCCTCGAACCATTGCTGTATTGAAGACAGGTATCACTGAGAAGATTCAATCGATCACCCAGGAGGAATGTGCACGCGTTATCAACAACTTTGCATTCAACAGTGCCTTCAGCTGAAAGGTAGACGTCTGGAGCGTGTACTCTAGGGCTCCTCTTGACAATTTTGGTTCATATTTGAGAGTAAATAGTTGCAGATCCTTTTACTTATCCTTATTTTACCTGTCAATAAATGTACTTTCCATTAGTCTATCAACTGTGGTTATTGATTTGTACCTGATCATTTTGTTTCAAAAATTGTGAAACACCCTGTTAAGTGATGGCTTGAATTTTTTAACAAGTCTCCAGCTTAGGGAAATTGTCAACTCATTGTTTTCCTGACGGAAGATACAAGGAAATTGTCGGCTCATTGTTTTCCTGACGGAAGATACAAGGAAATTGTCGACTCATTGTTTTCCTGACGGAAGATACAAGGAAATTGTCGGCTCATTGTTTTCCTGACGGAAGATACAAGGAAAGTGTCAACGCTTTGTTTTCCCGACGGAAGATACATGGAAATTGTCGGCTCATTGTTTTCCTGACGGAAGATATAAGGAAATTGTCAACTCATTGTTTTCCCGACGGAAGATACAAGGAAATTGTCAACTCATTGTTTTCCTGACGGAAGATACAAAGAAATTGTCGGCTCATTGTTTTTCCGACAGAAGATACAAAGAAACTGTCGACTCATTGTTTTCCCGACGGAAGATACAAGGAAATTGTCGGCTCATTGTTTTCCTGACGGAAGATACAAGGAAATTGTCGGCTCATTGTTTTTCCGACGGAAGATACAAAGAAACTGTCGACTCATTGTTTTCCCGACGGAAGATACAAGGAAATTGTCGGCTCATTGTTTTCCTGACGGAAGATACAAGGAAATTGTCGGCTCATTGTTTTTCCGACGGAAGATACAAAGAAACTGTCGACTCATTGTTTTCCTGACGGAAGATACAAAGGAAATTGTCGACTCATTGTTTTCCTGACGGAAGATATACAAGGAAATTGTCGGCTCATTGTTTTCCTGACGGAAGATACAAGGAAATTGTCGGCTCATTGTTTTTCCGACGGAAGATACAAAGAAACTGTCGACTCATTGTTTTCCCGACGGAAGATACAAGGAAATTGTCGACTCATTGTTTTCCTGACGGAAGATACAAGGAAATTGTCGGCTCATTGTTTTTCCGACGGAAGATACAAAGAAACTGTCGACTCATTGTTTTCCCGACGGAAGATACAAGGAAATTGTTGGCTCATTGTTTTCCTGACGGAAGATACAAAGGAAATTGTCGGCTCATTGTTTTTCCGACGGAAGATACAAAGAAACTGTCGACTCATTGTTTTCCCGACGGAAGATACAAGGAAATTGTCGGCTCATTGTTTTCCTGACGGAAGATACAAGGAAATTGTCGGCTCATTGTTTTTCCGACGGAAGATACAAAGAAACTGTCGACTCATTGTTTTCCTGACGGAAGATACAAGGAAATTGTCGATTCATTGTTTTCCTGACGGAAGATACAAGGAAATTGTCGACTCATTGTTTTCCTGACGGAAGATACAAGGAAATTGTCGACTCATTGTTTTCCTGACGGAAGATACAAGGAAATTGCCGACTCATTGTTTTCCTGACGGAAGATACAAGGAAATTGTCGAACCATTGTTTTCCTGGCGGAAGATACAAGAAAATTGTCGACTCTAAGTTTTTTCTTGGCGGAAGGTACAAAAAAATTGTCAACTCATTGTTTTCTTGACGGAAAATACAAGGAAATTGTCGAGTCTATGTTTTCCTGACGGAAGATACAAAGAAACTGAGTTGTTGCAAGTTTTATACCAACTCTCGGAGATATTTATTTTTTATAATATGAAGAATAATCATTTTCCTCCTGAGAATTTCTTAGACTATTGACCTCATTTTAAAGTTCTTACCTTCTTCACGTGCACATTATATAAATAGAGGAATCGTTTTTTTTTCTAGAAAGTTATGGTAAACAGAAAATAAATTTGAAAGAAGCAGGTTACATTAACCTGACAACAACTGTATAAATCAGGCCAGTGTTTATTTCAACGTGGTGTTGATCTCTTTGTCGGAGAGGAGGGGAGTAGAAAGTAAGGAACAACCTGGATTACATGGCGGTCTTGAGACGGTGCTGACCCAGGCCAACATTTCTTTTCTGTCACGATAACGATGAAAAAAAAAAAAAAAAAAAAGAAAAAAAAAGGAGTTCAGTCATCCAAAAACTCTCGGATTTACATTATTTACGTAATTCGGACTAATTTCCTCATCTTTGTCGCCATATTTATTACAACGTTTCGGTCTTTGTACGCTCCAGCCTTCTTCAGGTGGTTGGAATGTTGAACTGAATCTTTTATTTCACTCACTGGAGTAGACTGCTTTAGTTCTACGTGCCATGTTTAATGGATGTCAGTTATCAGTTATCTCCTGTTAATTCCCCTCTCCAAGTTCTCCACTACCCTAACCAGGTATTAAAATCACATTCTTTAGGTCCTGTCACTGGATCTAACTAATGCCTTTATCCACTGTGCCATGTGTCCTCAAGGACACATGGCACAGTGAATAATTAATAGTTCGAACAATGTAAATAACGTACATAATACTTCATCTCAGAAATATAGACAGATACTCTCGGATTTAATGCATCATATTTTCCAATATAACAAGGAAAGAAATTCTCATTTGAGAATTGATAAAATTGTTAAGTACGCACAAAGAATTAATCGAAATATTAGCTACGTTTTGTCAAGGTTTATATTGAGTGTAGCAACTATTTACAGTTAATATATTAAGTTATACTCTCACCCGCCAGCTCTTTTCTTCATCAACAACAGTTCCAGAGACAAGGCATTTTGTCAACGTATCTAATGATGGTGTAGAATGCAGGGGAGTGGATTCATGACTTCCCTAAAGGAATTGGCGCTCAATTGTCTCAGCCGCAAATCGTACTATATTGTTCCATTTCCCGCATTGATAACTATTACGTTACTTTGTATGTCGGCCAGTCGTGCAAGGTCTTGGTCATGAAACTCTTTCTGACAAGTTCCAAACTTTTTGTTGAATCACCGCAGCTCGAGCCAGCTATGTGGCACCAAAAACTAGAGTTGATAGATCCTTGAAAGTAATCCATGTTTTTGAATAACGACGAAGAAGACAAGAATGTCTTAATATTTAAACAAAACGGTTTATTTACCTGTTAGTTTATACAGCTGCGATGCAAATGAGATCTCTGTCTGGTTAACTCCACATCAAAACCTGTCGACCGGATGTAAACGCTAAGAAAGCAAAATTAAAAAATAAAATACGTCGTTTTCTGTGCAGATGGAGTCTGAGCATCGCATCCGGCTCACAAAACAAATCCCCAAAAATATAAAATAAAATGTAAACGTCGGAGCCAATCACGATCGTTGACACAAAAACAAAAGCATGACAAAAATTGAATTCACCTTGACTGCTTAAAAGGACCCGTTCAGGGACACTCGAAGCAATAAACAAGCAGTCGCCGAGTTCACTAGCGGCGTCCTGGTTGACCGAGCCGACACAAGCTTCAAAGCTAGGCTCGTGCACACCCAACTCTCCCGCCTTCTTTGTTGCTTTCCTCTCCCCCAAAAATCGACATTCCGCTTTGATCCATTCTGCCGGTACCGATAATTTCTCTTTGAATATATATTTTATACCATAAACACGAGCCTTCCTATAGTTAGTTAGGCTTACGGCCATATGACGTTGAAACAGAAGTTCCCCTGTGATTCAGATGAGATTCCTTTCGACTGTAGAGCTTTGCAACTTTACTAAGAAAGTCGACAAATTTCACCTTTACACTGGAAAGTGGTATTTTAAGACTATAAGGAAGCTGATAGCGTTAGCCATTTATTAAATAGCTTATGGCTATATCAGGTTGAATCACAGGTTCCCGTACAATTACCGAAGTTAAGTAACGTCGTGCCTGGTCAGTACCTAAATGGGTGACCGCTTGGGAATACCAGGTGCTGTAAGCTTGCATGTACGGGTAATGTAATAGATAATGGCTCGGAAATTTTAATCGGAGAGCCGAGTTCTTATTCCCGTTGGGTTTGTTATATTCACTTACGTGCAAATACAATTGGGAAAGGTATGAATCCAGCTCTTCTCTCCCCAAAATATGGGTTAATTAGTAAGACTCGTATCATTAAACCATCATTTAACAATATCTTACACTCTAAAAATATTTTCTGAATTTAAATAGCCAACATAGGCTTGATAAGCCGTAGAAAACGAATCAATCAGTCTTTCTATAATTAACTAACTTTCTACATTTAACTCTGTTCGTCGACCATTTTAAAGAGTTCTTGGGTCTCTTCTCGCTACGCTCGAGTGAATCACTACCCACCTGGTCAAAAGTATCTGGATGAGTTAGAACAACGAGAGATTGGAAGGAATTACGTGGTGACCTTAACAGACCCAGGATATAAAGTTTGACTGGTACAGGGCTAGATAGAGGTAAAAAAAAAATGTGTTGAGTCGAGAGTTTGCCTTCTTTTAAAATCAGTATTTTTACAATGATGTTGATCCTGTAAAATGCTGGAGAGCCACTCTAGGTAGAGGGTTAAGAGGCACAGTTTATTCAGATATGTAAGGAAGATAACAGTTAACCTTCGACTTGAACAGGTTAAGATTGTAGTGATCAGGGAAGCATTCTTTTGTGAGTCAATTCTACAAATTAGTAGTTCGTAGGAAGAAGCTGTTCGAGTGGAACTTACATCTAATCAATGAAATACGAAGGAAATGAAGGTGGATTGCTAGAATTGGCGTGACATGGTGGGTCTTAGTCACGAAGGTTAGAACTGGTGGAAGTAAGGAATATAATTCATCTGAATACTTTTCAGGGAAATAGCAAATGATCAGTGAGAGGCTTATGACGTCTTGCCCTTGTGGAAAGGAAATAATGTTATGTACAAAACGTTTTATGCACAACTGCTTTAAATAAAAAGAAAAATAAAGAAAACTTATTCCTTCTTTTCTTTGAACGCTTGTCGATGTTGTATTTAACATTTAGTTAAATACAACTGTAGTATTAGTTGTAGTAGTATTAACTTGATTTTGTATTATTATTAGATGAATGCGTTTTCATTTATTATCAGTAATTGATATGCTCTGATCATGATCCATCCCAAAGAATCATCGCGTTTCTCTCAGAAGGTGTGGGTTAGCCCACTTGACTTTGTCTAAAAAAACGTCACTTACTCAAGAAAGTTAGAACTTAGGAATGGAGCTCGTCTGAGCACTTTCCATGGAAATAACGATAGCGCAGCAAGAAGCTTGTGACGTTTCGTTTGTGAGAAACGGTTGTAGGGTGGAAAATTCATCACCCACAAGGATGCGGAGACACTTTTTAAGTCGAGATTGTAACATGAAGACTGCGCAGCTCCTGGCCATATATGGCAGCAGTTATTCATTTTCACTATTTAAAATTCTAATTTTTAACGCGACTGGGACTAACAGCACGAATAAATAATATTCGAAAATACCTGATGAATATTTAATAAATGTAGCCTAAACTACCAATAGAAGTTTACATGGTTAAGATTGAATTCATTACATTAGCTAATAGGGCCGTTGTTGCTGAGCATCAGTCAACAAAAGGAGGTTTTCAGACAGATATTTAGTCCTGGGTATGGCCATAAACTACATCCGGCAGCAAGGCCTCTGATCGGGTGATTGGAGATTTTGAGGAGCGAGGAAACACCTCTTAATTGCTGTTGTTCCCAGGTCTACCTTGACCCGAGGTGGTAGAAACCGTTAGGGTCACAGCTATGGGCAAATAGAAAACTCCCAAACAAAAGCAAAGTATAAAACAAATTTTTATAGTAAAATTACCAACAATATATCTTATCTGTAGTTGAAGGCATAGGATTGTGTTCAAATAATTTAGATTTTGGCATTAAATAACCCATAGATGTGTTGATATGCCACTAAACCAAATCAACCAAACCAGACAGATATTTGTTAAAATTTATTTAATCTAGTATAGGTTATTTGTATTGAGGCACCCAATGAGGCTTGACTTTACTAAATTGTCCTTGATGTTCGGATGTGATTTTATAGACTCCGCTCTTTGGCTGTGAAGTGTTAAAATGCCGAGCGTTGTTCGATTGAGATTTGCTTCAGTCGACGAATCAAATCCCTTCACGAAGGAATCAAGTCGCTTCGTGAAGGAATTAAATCCCTTCGTGAAGGGATCATATCCTTTCGTGACTTCTCTTCGTAAAGAAATCAAATAATTGTTGATCTCCTTGAACTAATTTTTCCTTTTTTTTCCCTCAACACTTGACTACTACAACGACGGCAACTGTTGTTTCGTTAAGTAATACTACCGGGGAAAACTCGAATTCACTAAATTATCTTTGATATTCGGGACTGGTTTAAAAAAAAAAACAAACCCCGATCTCTGGTTAGCGATTCCACCTGACTGCAGAAACATTTTTTCTTGTTTAGCATTGTCTGTTCGTATTTCTCTCACTCTCTCTTTTTCATTTACTTACTTACTCTCTCTTTTTTGATGTCAAAAAAATACTCGTTGTCACTTTCGTATGGCTCGTTGTAGTAAAGATTTTATAATCACAGATACAACTATAGTAACGCCGTTGAACAATACTGGTGTCAGACGCCTTCGAATAACACTCATACTTGCTCGATAATATTCACTTGAACAGTAATCCGTATAGTGATCCGAACAGAGAAATAGTATAGTGAATAGAGCAGAGAATAGCGGTCCGTATAGTAATAAAGGATAGACTAGAAATGGAGATCCGTATAGTATAGAGGACAGACTAGAAATAGCGAACGTTAGTCATCAGCTACTTTCTACATATATGCATTTCCTTTGTGGTCACGTGGTCTACTTAATTCAATAATGGGATCACCTGTGTTTGCTCACTGGCGATCTATGTTCAAACTCAAGTATCGGCAGCGACACTTTATTCCTATATAACTCTCTCTCTCTCTCACACACACTCACTCACTCACACACACACACACACACACACACACACACACACACACACACACACACACACACACACTTTATTCATTTTATTTCTTCTGGTTTTCGTTCTCACAATACCTCCCCGGATTGAATATCATTACTGCAAGTCAATGAACAAACAATTTTTATTATGCACATATGTCTTGACATGTTCTGGCCATGTCACCTTCTTAGCATTTCTGGTAGATAAAAGTTGGTATTTTCATTTTCAAACCATTAAATTTTTATGCCACACAATCTTCGAGAAAGGTATCTAACTTATCCAAGATAAAGTGGATGCCATTTCAGAACTACCAACACTAAAGTTATTTTAACAACTAAGAAGATTCGTTGGGCTCATTAATTACTACAGGAATTACATTCCACAAAATTCTACCCAATCCACTTACAACCTTATTAAAAGGGAAGAATAAGAACATTAATTTAACTTCGGAACAAACCCAAACAGTAGAAGAAGCCACAAATGACTTAGAGCCACATCACTGAAGTTAAGCAACGTCGAGCTTGGTCAGCACCTAGACAGGTGGCCGCTTGGGAATACCAGATGCTGTAAGACTGGATGTGCGGGCCGTGTAATGAATAATGGTTCGTAATTGTTAATCGGAGACCCGAGTTCCAATTCCAGTTGGGTTCATCATATTCACTTACGCACATATACCCTTGGGAAAAGTATGAATCCACATCTCCCCCCCAGCTATGGGTTAATTAATGATACTTGTATCACTAAAACCATCATTATCTCCAAAAATACATACAAAATATTTAGATTTCAGGATTAAATAACCCATTGAGGTTGATATAAAAAAAAGAAAAAAGCCATTAAATTACATCCGTCAGGAAATATATTCTTGTTTTCTTTATATTCCAACTAATACCCGCAGGTTATATTGTCATTTTTAAAATGTTCAAAAGTCTTTTGCTTTAAATTTTAAATAAAGCCAGGTATTATTAACACCATTGAAAGTTTTGACATTATCATTAATAACTTCTTTCCTTCCTTTTATTCTTCCTTTCCTCTTGATAATATTTATAAATTTTCGTACAGTTTTTAAACTTGTATATTTACCTTGTTTTATTCCTATTTCAATTATTTATTATTTTTTTTTTACTCTATATTCGACCGATCTGTTCAGCCTTCAAATTAAATTAAGAACATGGAAGATATTTCGAACTAGATTACGCCATAGAGCAACACATTTACAACATTGGGCAACCGAAGCCGATAACAGCGCGATAATGTTCTCATCTCTAATCCTTGTCTTCCTTCAAAAAAGCTGGAATAACGAGAAAATTTATACCTGGAAAAGTATCGTCTTTGACCTATATTAATGGCATCCATGAAAAATTACTTGACAATTTAAGAAATATTTTCTTTTTTATATTTTAAATGTTAAAAAACCCCAAAAAAACTCTGACTTGGTCAATAGAAAGAGTGACATTCTTTAGAAAGACAAGGAAAACCCATTTCGGATATAATGATCTCAACAGATCAAGTATTTTAGAATATTTTCCTGCATTCTTCGAACTGAAAACGGTTCAGCGTCTTAATATTTCTATTAAATCAGCTCATTGGAACATTGAATATCAAATTCTTTAAATGTATAAAAGAGATCAATGCATCACTATCAGAATTCATTTCATCTCGTCTCTCAACTATCTTCTCCAGTATTGTAAAAAAAAAAACTAAACAAAGCAAAAAAAGAAAAGAAACAAAAAACAAATCAAAGCAAAAAAAAAAAGAAACAAAAAACAAAAAAAATCAGCTCCTGCATAGTCTTTTATCATTGCTAATAATGACGATAAAATTATTGGCAAATGTATTTATTTATTTACTTTTTCAAAAATCCTTTTCATTGAACGGAATTTTATTCTTTCCCCTAAAATGCGATATTACTTTCCGAACAACCTGATAATTTTATTTGAAAACACAGAGTGAAGAATGAATGATTGCTTCATTTTTTTTCTTCTTACACCGGATTATTCGACATTAAATTTTTTCCGGGTATTTTCAGTGAGAAAATAGGAAAAAAAATATTAAATTGAAAAATTCCACTTCTCGTTAAAAGTCGGTCGATTCAAGCCGTAATTTGATTATGAAGCGTCCGCTCAGCAAACTATTTTTGGTCAATAAATGGCACGCATTTCTGCAACATATTACAAATTTTCTTTTTGATTATTATGCACAAAATTCATACGTAAGGAGGATGGAAATAATATGAATTGAGTTTTACATTTTAATACTAAAATTAACCAAATAAAAGACTCGAGAGACACTCAAAGTAGATGGTTACTGTTAAAATATGAATGAGAATGAAGGTATAAATGAAAGATGCATATCGATACTTTACAGGTTATTTAATGTCGAAATCTAAATATTTTGTAAGAAATTTTATTTTATTTTAAAAAATACTAATAGTTTAGTGATACGTGTCTCACTAATTAACCCATAGGTGGGAGGAGAAGAAGTGGATTCATACATTTCCCAAGGATATTAGCGCGTAAGTGAATATAACGAAAGCCACTGGAATTAGAACTCGGCTTTTCGATTAACAATTTCGAGCCATTATCCATTACACAACCAACAGATCCATGCTTACAGCACCTGGCATTCCCAAGCGGTCACCCACTCAGGTACTGACCAGGCTCGACGTTGCTTAACTTCGGAAATCGAACTGGGAACGGTGTTTCAACGTGATATGAACGTAAGCCGATTGAAAGTATAGATGGTAGGAAGTGACGATTATGAGGATAAGAAGGATAGATAATAAGGTGAACCTATCTATATAATAAGGGAATAAGGTAAAGAGGTGAAGTTAGTTGTGTTCGGGGAAGCACTCATATGGGAATGTGTTCCGCAAACTTGCAGTTGTTGGAGAAAAGTGGTCTAGAAATTTCTTCTGACATTTGGAATATGGAAGAAATGAGGGTGATTCGACACCGTGGAAATGGTATGATGTCTCCGAGCTGTAAAGGTCTGATCTGGTGGAACAAAAGATTACAACTCAACTGACCATTTGCCATGGAAATTGCGATGGTGTAGTGGCAGGCTGGCAACGTTGCATCCGTGCGAAAGGAGTCGTAGGTAGAAAGTAAGTCTTTTCCAACAAGACCGCGTAAATGATTTTAACTCTATCAAAGCTAGGAAGCGAGGATTGAGAAGCTGCAGTCCAGATATGTTAGTAATAACCCATGACTTGTAGAGAAAAAGAATAACTGAAGGAGGAGGGTAGAATGAACTAACACATTTCCCAGCATCTTAAGGAATGGATCGTATACATGAATTCCATTTAAGGCCTAGAATGAACTTGAAGCCAATTCGCCCTAAGCAAGATGCAGTTAACACGCAACGGGCTACTGGGAGTGATAGAAAATAAGAAGACTTTTAAAGGAACCTGAAATCAGAATACAACCGGGGAGGTGTATGAACCGGGCGATAGGCGAACCTCTCTACGCCTATCGAAGAAAAAAAATAAATAGTAAATAAAATTTCAGAGTTTAGGCGGAGATGTCAGAAGTATAGATTGGATAGAAGTATAGATTGTAGAAGGAACTGAAAAAACAATCCTAAACAGGAAACAAGTCAGGCAACGGAGACAGAAAAAGAGTGTGCATGGCAAAAGAGAAAAACAAGTAAGGAAGGCTAGAGAAAAACGAACAGAGACGGCGAAAGTTTAACTGCCTACAAACTAACGTAATTCATAAAGCTACTATTAAAAGGAAATCAAGTAAAAGTATATATAGGAATAACAATAAGTCTATGAGAACAAAAAAGTTATTAACACAAAATGGAATATCGGAACGAAAATATGCAAATGGCACAATTCTTTCAAAACATATGGTCACTACAAAAAACAAAAAAAAACAAAAAAAAAACAAACAAAACAAAACAGAAAAACAAACAAACAGACAAAAGCCAAAACACAACAAAAATAACATGGAAGAAAGCACTAGATTATAACAACACCTCAAAAACTAGATTGATTGTGTGTTTTTTACGGATTATCAAGTTTGCGGGTTATTTAAACCACAAAACATATTTATAAGTTGTAAGAATACTTCTTCTTTGTTGCATTAAATGTTTTCTTGGAGACAACAATGATATTTATAGATAAACATTTACTATTTAACCCATAGTAGGGGTAAGAAGAGATGAATCCCAAGTGTATTTGCGTGAAAATGAATGCAAACAACCCGATTAGAATTCGACATTCATTCCCTGATTTCACGTTCTGAGCAGTTACCCATGAGACCACACGCACATATTCGAAAACGAGATAATCGCAATAATTAATTTTCTAAAACAAGATAAAGTCCTAAACAAAAGGTTAGAACTCATTTCTAAATGCAGACATAAAGCCAAATTCTTATTATGCTACCTACAACCTCATCATGACTAAAAGTACTAAATAGAATCCCATCAATTAATCTAATGATTACTTTTTAAAATCTTTTTTATACTCTTTCTTTCTTTTTTCTTTTTTTCTTTCTTCAGCGAATAAATTTTATTTCGAATGCCAAAATTTGTAACCGAAAAATATGTACAAAACAAATATATAAATAAATAGAAAATAAATAAAATAAAAATAATAAAGGTGATGATATAATCTAAAGAATTAACCTTAAATAAAAGAACTAGCAAGAGCCGGTTTACTTTTTCACCCCTTCCCTTAATTCCCTAGTAGCCTATATATAGAGCCCACCACTGATACATTAAAATTTTTTATCGAGAGAAAAGCATCCCGGTTATGACGATAAACTACACCCGCGTTCTGGGTATGACGATAAACTACGTCCAACAGCAATGCCCCTGATCAGAAGGTTTTGAGGAGTGTGGAACCACGTCTTAATTGCTGGTGTTCCCAGGTCCACCCTGACCCGAGGTGGTAGTACCTGTTAGGGCTCCAACTATGGGCAAATAGTTAACCCCAAAACTGGGTTTAAAACCCTTCAATATATTTTTGGAAGAAAAATGATTACCAGCAATACATATTTGTAAATAATTATTACCCGCAATACATTATTACCCGCAATACATTTTTGAAGAAAAGATTTTACCAGAAATACATTTAAGAAAAATATTACAACAATAAAAATCTTGTCTGTAACATCCCTTGGGCTAGTGACTGCTAGTGCTGCTGCTGCTGTCCCTTTGGACGCGATAACAGTGTTTGTTTACTTCCGCCGAGCCTCGCTCTGGAACAAAAGGCCAGCACGCGAAGCTGAAAATATGTGTATATTAATGTTAATAAAGGTATGTTAAATAATTATATATCTGTGTGAGTAACCCCTATTTCATTGTCAACATTAAAAAACCCATTGAGGTTGATATGCCGTAAAACAAACCAAATCAAACCAATCGAGAGAAAAATAAGAGATGATACTAAAAAAAAAAATGAAATTTTTACTTCTTTTCCGTATACAGAATTAATTCGTTTTTGTAGGACATAGAAGCATATACAAGCAATGGACATTCAACAGGATGTAGTGGGTGTAAAGTGGGGTGCCTTTAACAAACTTCTTGGGGATAGTACCATTAGTTCGAAAAGTCTGTCTAGAAATTTCCATGTTTGCCTTCGCACCGCTTTGCCTTCGATCGGTGGAACATGCCATTTATGATATCCAGATTAGTTGCGACAGTGTAGTAAAGAAAGAAATAAGAGAAAAAAATAACCAGAGGGTTTTGGAGTCTATATTTAATACCAAAATGAAGAAACAGGCAATCAGAAAGGAACTACAAGAGAACTCCATAACAGAAAGGAATTAGAATCTACAGGCAAGAACGTGAGAGAAAAGCTGAAGTATTGTAGCTCAGAAACTGGAACAACACTCGCAAGCGACTCTCGTTTAGCACATACTATACTATATTATATTATATTATATTATATTATATTATATTATATTATATTATATTATAGTACACTGCACTGAAAACGCTTACTGTCCTCCCAACAAACACTCGCTTCCTTTATGCGTTTTTCCGAAGCTAGAAAATTAGCTCAGTGACGCATGCGCTGTGTCATTTCACTGCCGATGCTCTTACGATTCGTCTCGCTAACAATTTGCTTGTTTTATGCGCGAATTTACTCTACGCCGCTCTGTCCCTCTTGGACCTCGGAGGTAATTCTCCATCACAAGAATAAACGAATGGATAATCTTGATTGTCGACACACGTATAATTTCCACAGGTACAGTTAGTAAAATGTTATGAACGCAGGTAAAAATATCTTTCTTCTTCACACTCCAGTCCCATACTTGATATTTATATTCTCATTCAGAAATTTGTCTGACAGAAGGGCACAAAAAGAATGTAGTATTCAGCGTTCATAAATAGTCACAAGTTCAACAGATAAGCACAAAGAATAAATAACGGAGGGTTGGAGGCAAAAAAAAAGTTTGTATTTAGGAGGAAAGACTTCATACCTTGAATATCTTCTTTTTCAGGACGTTGGCGATCGAATCAACAATTTCCTGTCCTTTGTAGCTCTTAAATTTGTTTGTCTTTTTGTTATCTCTCCTAAAACTTACTCAGCCATCCGTCTACTAAAGCTTGTTTATACTTTGTTTTCCTTTGTCTCTATTTCTGTCATTATATCCTGTGAGTATTAAATTTTCTAAGCCTTTTTCCTTATAATGTGTCCTAGATATTTCAGCCATCTCTTCTTGATGTTAAGTATAAGGGTCCTTTTTGTTTCCATTTTCCCTACAACTTTGTTTGATGTATTAAATTGAAAATACACCATAAAGATGACGGGTTACGAGTCGTCAGTGATGCGCCCTGGTTTCATTGGGTGTTTTGAGTTTTAAATATCTCGCCCTACCTATAATCCGACCTGCTTCTGCAGAAAGCAGAACCATGTCTCGAACGTGACATAACGAAAAGACACGCCCACTACAACAGTTATTTGAATATTTTTGTCATAATGTACTTTAGCTACAATCATAAAGCACCCAATGATAAATTAACTGTCAATGGCTTTTGCTACGAATACGCTATGACCCGGGTGTATAAGTGATAACGTGACGAACTTCACTCCACTTTGGTCCTTACTTGGGGTCGACTGCACTATCGAAAGGGTCTCGAATATTAATAGCATGAAACATGGAAGTAGGCAAATGTCTGATAGCAGAGCCATGAACAAAGTTATTTAAGCTGGCATATTTAAATGGTATATTTATAAACTACTGTATTCTCATCATGCAAAACACTAAATTTAGCGCTTAAGCTCCTTCTTAGACAGCTGCTGTTAAGATCAGACGGAGTAGAAAACAACTCACACGGCATCTAATTTATTGACCAATGAAAATGCACTATAGTCTTGGAGTCTCTTTCATAGGCCAAGCAGAAAATCGTCTTTCTCTCTCTCAACAGCGAACACGGCCTGGCTACAATTAGGTGTCAGTGAACCTTATCCGCTCCAGCAACTATAAGTCATTTCTACTACCATTGAGACAAACGACTCTTCTCACAAGAACCTATCCTACGAACTTCATAAAAAAGAACTGAAGAATTATACTTAAACTTTATGCTCACAGAAACTTACAGTGATTCAATATATATATATATATATATATATATATATACAGTGCTGTTCGATAAAAGTGACTCATCTGATTTTTTTTACTAAAAATATTTTTTGTCTATTGTTTTGGGGGTTAAAATAATTTTTAATCTTACTAATATAAAGACCCGTTCCCGACCACCTAGG